GCCACCACAGCCTCGACCTGCTGGGCTCAGGCGATCCTTCCACCTCAGCCTTCCAAGTAGCTGGAACTACAGGCGCATGCTACCACGCCCAGCTAATTTTTCGATTTATTGTAGAGATGAGGTCTCACCAAGTTGCCCAGGTGGGTCTCGAACCCGCAGGCTCAGGCAATCCACTCACTTCAACCTCCCAAAGCATGGGATTACAGGCTGAGCCACCGAGCCTGGCTAGATGTTAGTTTTATCAAAAAATATAAAGGGTTTTTTTTAACTGTATGTCACAAATTAAAAGGAAATGCTTTTGAAACAAATGAAATGTTAGAGGTTCTCAGCAAAGAAATAGAATTTGTAGAAAAATGTAATAGCTAGACCTGAAAAATATAAAAATGGAAATAAAGAATTCTTTAGTGGTCTCTATCTGAGTCTGCATGGTAGCTAGATTGGCCCCAAATATATCCACACTCCAATTCCTGGAACTTGCAAATTTGTTATGTTTAAAATGACAGAAGTGACTTTGCAGATATAATTAAAATATGGCCCTCAAGATACGGAGAGTATCTTAAATTATCCAGATGGGCCCAATCTAATTATGTGAGCCCTTAAAAGTAGAGAATGTTCTTTAGCTGGAGCAAAAAGACATACAACAGAAGTCATTTCTGACTTCTGATTTAAAACTTGAGAAGAACTCAATGTGTCATTGCTGTTGTGAAGATAGAGTTGGCAACATGACGAGGCATTCAGGTGACTGTGAGGGGGTGAGAGGTTCCCAACGGTGAGCAAGGGAATGAAGGCCTCAGTCCTTTTACCACCAGAAACTGAATTCAGCTAACATCTGAATGGACTTGGAAGCTGATTCATCCCCAGAGACTAGAAAGTAATGCATTTGTGTTGATACCTTGATTTTGGCCTTGTGAGCCTGTTGGCAGAGGGCCCAGTGGAGCCATACTGTAACAAGATTTCTGCCTTGCAGAACTGAGAGATAATACATTTATGTTGTTTGAAAATGCTATATTTGTGGTAATTTGTCATATCAGCATAGAAAACTAATATAGTCTAGGGTATGTTTTTACCCTCATTACAGACTAATAAGTTACATTTATTTATTTATTTAGGATGCTAGCAAAGACATGAGGGTCCTGGGTCAGAGACAAAGGACTTTATTATTCATGGCATAGCAAACGATGTGAGCCAATAACCACAGAATGCACATTTTATTCTAGTACTATTAGAACATTTACCAATACTATGTATGCTATATATTATAAAACAAATTCTCAGTAAAATTTTAAAAATCAAAATTATATAGATTATGTTCTTTGACCATTTGAAACAAAATAAAAATCAGTAACATGAAACAAGGGAAATTGGAAAATATTTTGAACTGGAAGAAAATTAAAATATATCAAATTTAAAGTTCAGCTAAAGCAACACTTCACGGGAAATTTATAGCAGTAAATGCATATATTTGAAAAGAAGAAAGCTCTCAGGTTAATAACCTAAGATTCTGCCTCAAAAAAAGGAAAAAAATAGAAAAAGAAGAGCAAACTAGACCCAAAGGCAAACAGAAAGTAGGAAATAATGAAAAGCAGAAATAAATGCAAAAATCAAAACAGAGAAAAATCACCCCAAAAGTTGGTTCTCTGAAGAGGTTGATTAAATGGATAAATTTCTAGTTAGACTGACCAGGAATAAAAAGAAAGAGACAGAAATTGCCAATATTCATAAGGGTATCACTACTGACCCAAAGACATTAAAAAGATAATAAAGGAATGCAATAAATAACTCCATACGTATACATTTGACAACCTAGATGAAATGGACTATCCTCTTAAAGGATATACACTATCAAACTCATTGAGAAGAAATAGATAACCTGAAGAGCCTTATAAAGTAATGGGATTTGTAGCTCCTGGTCCAGATTGTTTCACTGGTGATTCTGCCAGACATTACCGAAGACGTAATACCAATACCACACAATCTCTTACAGAAAATAGAAGAGGAAGGAGTGCTTCCCAACTCTATTTATGAGGCTTGCATTACTCTAACACAAAATCTAGACAAACATTTGAAGAAAAGAAAACTATAGACCACTGTTCCTAATTAACATAAGTGTAAAAATTCTCAACAAAATAAACTAATAAGCAATGGGATGATATAACCAGGTGGGTTTCATTCATACAAGACTGGTTCAACTGTAATTCACTATATTAACAGACTAAAGAAAAAAAAAACCATATGACCATCTCAGTAGATGCAGGAGACCGGGTGTGGTGACTCATGCCTGTAATTCCAGCACTTTGGGAGGTGTAGGCAGGAGGATCACTCGAATCCAGGCATTCAAGACCAGCCTGGACAGTATAGCAAATCCTCATCTCTACAAAAACATTTAAAAAACAGTCTGGAGGATTGCCTGAGCCCGGGAGTTGAAGTGATTGTGCCACTGCACTCCATCTAAGGCAACAGAATGAGAGTCTAAAACAATTTTTAAAAAAGATACAGGAAAAGCATATGACAGAATTCAATATCTCTTCGTGTTTTTAAAAATTCTTAGCAATCCAGGAATAGAAGATGACTTCCTTACCCCAGCTATAAAAGCGTCTACAAAAACCTTATGGCTAAGTTCATTCTTAATGGTGAGAGACTGAATGTCTTCCTTGTAAGATTAGGAAAAAGACAAGAATGTCCTCTATTACCACTCCTAGTTAAGGAGAATACTAGAAGTGCAAGTCAGTGCAATAGGGAAAGAAATAGAAATAAAAGGCCTATGGAGAGAAAAGGAAGAAATAATTTGTCTCTATTCCTGGATGACATAATTACCTACATAGAAAATTTCAAATAACCTATTAAAAAAAACTTACACACAGAACACGATTCCTAAAATGAAGTAAATTGAGCAAAGTCACAGGATACAAGATGAACATACATAAGTAAGTTTATTTCTGTGTACTAGCCATTAACAATTGGAAACTGACATTTTAAAACTATACCATTTACAAAAGCTAAAAAAAATCTTGTATAAATTTTGCAAAATCTATGTAGGGTCTGCATTATATATTAAAAACTATAAAATGAAGCTAGAAAAAAATCAAAGAATTCCTAAAATTGAAGGAGGGATGTGCTGTGTTTATGAATTGGAGGACTCAATTTAGTTAATCTGGCAGTTCTCCTCAAAGTTATTTCCATATTTAATGTAATCGCAACCCCAATCCCAACAAGATAGATAGGATATATGGATGATTCTGTAACCCATAGAAGAGATAAAGTAATTTTAGAACAGCCAAAGCAATTTTTTTTTTTTTTTTTTTTTTTGCAACGGGGTCTCTGTCACCCAGGTTAGAGTACAGTGACGTAATCACAGCTCACCCCAGACTCTACCTCCTAGTCATGGGTGATTCTTCTGCCTTAGCCTTCTGAGTAACTGGGACTACAGATGTGTGCTTCAATGCATGGCTGTGTGTATGTGTGTGTGTGTGTGTGTGTGTGTGTATAAATGAGGCCTTGCTATGTTGCCTAGGCTGGTCTCGAACTCCTGGGCTCAAGTGATCCTCCTCCTGCTTTGGCCTCCCAAAGTGCTGGAATTATAGACATGAGCCACTGCGCTTGACCTCCAAAGCAATTTTGAAAAAGAATAAAGGTGGAGGACTCAGGGTACTCAATTTTAAGGCATATCATAAACTATACTCATCAAGGCTGTGTTGTATTGGTAAAAGGATAGAGACATAGATTAATGGAACAAAATATGGGGTTCAATTTGTGGCAAATTAACATAGATATGGTCGATTGATTTTTGACAAACGTGTTTGGACAGTTCAATGGAGAAAAGATTGTCTTTTCAACAAGTGTTACTGGAACAATTGGGTGTCCATAAGGAACCTGAGATGGCCTTCAGGCTTTCATCATTAAATATGTAGTAAACTCTGGGTTTTTGTAGATGCCCTTTATCACTTTGAGGAAGTTCTCTTCAGTTTCTAGTTTATGTGTTTTTATTATGAAAGGGTTTGGATTTTGTCAAATGATTTTTCTGTGTCTGTTGAGATGGACCTGTGCGGGTTTTTGTCCTTTATTTTATTATTGTGCTATATTGGTTGATTTTCATATGTTGAACCAGCTTTGCACTCCTACTCATCTTCTCTCCCACTGGCTATTCATTTAGTTTTCCCTCACTTGATGATTACCACACCAGACTATTCAAATGCCCAAGCTAGAAACTCAAGAGTCATCTTGTACCCCTTTGTTTCCTTTACTCTATACTTCTAATCTGTCGATTATGTTTTAATACCTTCCTAACTTTTTCCCTTTCAGTTCATCCTCTACCTTGATGCCAGGAGTAAAAGTTTTTCATCTCAAAGGCAAATCTGATATTCTAAATCTACTTATAGAAAAATTTATTAAATAGAAATTTGTATCTGTTCCCTGCCTTCTGCTGGTGTACATAAACCATTACCAACTGTCAGGTCTTTGTCTTATTTTTAAAGACTCCTAGATTACTTTCTGTGAATTAGGGGTGACCTTTCTGTTTCTTAAAATGGGATCTTTAATTTCAGTTATTAATGTTATAGGAGGAATACTACTAGATGCTGTATTTGGACGTTAAGATTTGATCTAACTGTATTCAATTTTAAAAAATAGTAAAATAGAAAAGAGGGCTTAAAAACAGATGAATACTAAGTGAAAAAATGGCTGCTATTTTGTTTCTGTGTTTCAATTGATCCCTTGTGAAAGTTCTTTTTTTGAGAAGTTTACATGCAATATATCATATTACAGGGATTATGAAGGAGATAATTAGTTTATCATTAACTGTTTATCAGATACACTGTTGAAGTAGTAACTCTTAGCATGGATTTTTATAGAAGTCATTTATTTTAAATCCAAACTATTTAAAATGGATGCATAATTAAAGTCTGCTGTTCACATTAGCATACATATGCCAAATACTAGAGAAACTCTGTAAGTGATTTTTAAATCTTGCTATTTATTTGTTTATTCATTTCTTTATTTTGCAGCCTTGCATTGCATCCTGAACGAGTGCTGGTAGCAACAGGACAAGTTGGGAAAGAGCCTTACATCTGTGTGTGGGATTCATATACTGTGCAGACCATATCAGTTCTAAAGGATGTTCATACACATGGTATAGCTTGCTTAGCATTTGATTTAGATGGACAGGTATGTGACAGTTTTTCATTTTTTCTAAATTATGTTTTTAAAATGTGTACATAGGAAATAACTATGAATATTAAATTGGGACAGCAGTTGATGAAAAGTATTGTTTTTCCAAGGGTGGACAAGTAGGTGGCTAATGTATGTAAGAAAAATAACACCAGTAGGTTTTTATTTCATCATATCAGACCATTCTCAATTGAGCTGATGCCAGAGTGATTCTGATTCAGTGGAATATTACCTGGTTGTTATAGAAAATTTTATATATAACTCATTTTGAGGTAGAATATTTTGCTAGGAAAGTTGAAAATGTCTTAGGAAAATTAAGTTTCTCTAGGTAGACTCATAAGTATTTTAATTTTCAGTTACTTTCAAAGCTATCTATTAAATTTTTTAATTGAACATAATGGTACAATACCTATGAGCTATTTTTATACAAAATCAAAGCTCAAAGCAAAAGATGTAATTATCACCCCACAGATTAGTAAGTTTCAAATTATTATCTACTTCTGGTCAATGATTTTTGAAAAGTTAAACAGGCCAAGAACTTTTTTGTGGTGCTTTTATGGAAGTTATTATGCCCAATATATGTATATATTTTTTTAAGTTATCACCAGTAAGAAGTTGGATTTTTCAGGTGTGTTAATTTATAAGTCTTTAAAAGTTTTGTGTTAAAACTAGACTTTAAAATGATTTTAACTTTTGGGAAAATTTTAGTTATCTACCTTTTTTTTTTTTAGGTTGAAAAATATAGTTTATTTAAAAAGTAAATAAGAAAGGAGATTCACCTCCCTGAGCTATCTGTTAAAATTTTTTTGAGCTATGACCTGGCCATAGGTCAAAGAATACATGACCTGGCCAGTGCTTAGCGTAACAGTGGCTAGTTATCTACTTTTCAGTTCATAAAATTAGTTTTGTAGATCTCTATTTTACAGAAAGTGGTTACAGTGTGTTCTACCCCTTGAACACAATAGCCAGTAGATGTTTTCTATATTACTCTGAGGAACAGCTTTTTTGAGTAGCATAGATTAGTATGACTTTCTGAGAAGATGTGACTTTCTGTTAATGAATTTAAAAAGACTTAATTAGAACCTCTTATTTGGGGGAAAATGTGCTTCTGAGTTTAATATTACTATATAGCAGTGATTGGCAATTGCAGAAATGTAATTCATGTCCCATTTTTGCTGTTATCTTTCAAGTCCTTTAATGTCCTCATGTCAGAGTTTCATTTCTTTTTTAAAGGAGAGTGATAATTTACTCTTTACCTACTTCACAGGAGTATAAAACATTATAAAACCAGCCTACAAAGTTGTTTTTAAAAACTATTTATTGTATTAAAAAATTATTATAGGGCTCAGTGGCTCATGCCTGTAATCCTGACACTTTGGGGGCAGAGGCGAGAGGATTGCCTGAGTCTGGGGCCTCAAGACCAGCCTGGGCAACTTGGTGAGACCTTGTCTCTACAATAAATCAGCAAATTAACCAGGCATGGTGGTGTGCACCTGTAGTTTCAGCTCCTTGGAAGACAAGGTGGAAGGATCTCCTGAGCCTAGCAGGTCGAGGCTGTGGTGGCTGTGAGCGTGCCTCTACACTTTAGCCTGGGCAACAGAGTGAGACTCTGACTCAAAAAAAAAAAAAATTTTTTTTTTTTAATTATTTAAGGTGTTTTGAAATTCAAGATATTTTAACTATAATATTTTATCTGTAAGTATCTATATACTTTAAATATAGATATTCTTAACTTTAAAATTGCCCTTTTTAAATGTAGTATCTTGCATTGCTGAAGAAGAACTTTTTTTATGTATCCAAGGAGAAATTTTGTCCATGGCTTTTACTAGTTGAAAGCCTTTAATTTTGGTTATTTTGAGAAACTTATAAGAAAAGTCTTGGCTACATGTGTTTTTCTTATCCCAGATATTAATGTAACATGTTAGTTAACATTTTAAGCATATAAAGCATAATCCTAAGTGCCAGGCACTATGCTGAGTCTGCATTATCTTATTTAGCCTTCACAGCAATCCTATGAAATAGATATTATTATTATCACTATTTTACAGATAAAGAAACTGAGACTTAGAGAGATTAAATAACTTGCCCCGGGTTACACAGCTAGTAAATGGAGCCAGAGCGGGAACCCAGGTCAGTCATATACCAAATCTCATGTTTTTGACAGCAATTCTCTACTGCCTCCCACACATGTAACTTAGGAGGTGGCTATTTATATTTCAAAAAGAATTCATCCATTTTAAGTACAGCTACAACTAAAATTTAAGGAACTGCTACCAGTTGAAGATGAAGTTAAGAAGAGTGGCTATGAAATTATGTTAATGAAAAAATACTTTAACTTAAAAAATATATTTGAAAGAACATACCTGTTTGCTTATATCTATAAACTGTTTATAGGCTTCCAGTTAGAAAATGGTGTATCAGTTTTGCATCTTCTACTAGATTTGAAACTGTAAGCAAGCATTTAAGATTTATCCAGCGAATGAGTTTCCTGGTTGATATAGTGCCTGAGTGTTCTCTTTCCAAAGACTCTTTTCCAATGAATTGAGTACCCATGCTAATGCTGGCAGTCTGCTTTATTGAAGATAATTAGGGCCCCAAAAGGCTATTTATGTAAATCCATATCAAATAGGGACTGAAATTTTATAGTAAATGGGAGAGAGGGGTAGGAGTATAGGAAATTTAATTGGTGCTTTATCTTGAAAATATAATCATAATTTATAAAAACACATTTCTCATTTTTAACAAATCTAAGTTATAGTTACAACTCTGCTAATTTATAGAATGAACTAAGAATACATTTTTTCCTTTACCTAATTTTGTCAATTATATGCTGGTATAAAATAAAATGCTTCAGTTTACCTCTGACTTTTGGCACATGATTATAAAGAGGGTCATTTTTGCAAAAATATTAGGGGATGGAAGTTCACTTTTTTCCAAGGACGTTTTAGTGATCGTTTGATATATAAACATATCTCAAATACCTATTTTATTATTCTTGAATTTTGTTCTCTTTTATTGCTCTGTCAAAATCATAACTAAATTTTAATGCCTTTATGCATGATTTGAGAGTATTTATTAAACTAAACCCTGTATCTTTTGTAAAATTTGTGATTTTACTTTATAACTTTGTAATGGTTAGTTCTTAAATAATGAACATTGAGATTACAGTGACTCCCTCCCCATACTAGGACTTTTATGATTAATTGACCTTTATTTGAATATATTTCACAATTGCAGGAACTCATGGGATGCTTCTCCTCTGTATTAGGTCATTTTTCTTATTTAAAGATTCAGTGTGTTAGATTTTATTTTTCTTTATTTCAATAGCTTTAGATCAGCAGCACCCAACCTTTTTGGCATCAGGGACCAGTTTTGTGGAAAACAGTTTTTCCATGGACTGGGTTGGTGGGCGGGGGAAGGTTTCGGGATGATTCAACCACATAACATTTATTGTGCACTTTATTTCTATTATTATTACATTGTAACATATAATTAAATAATTATACAATTCACCATTAAAAAAAAAAAGAGGATCAGATGGTTAATAAAATAATGGGCGAGCCACACACAGACTAAAATAAGTGTCGGATTCTGACTTAAAGCCTGCCACCAGATATAGCAGTACGATTGAAGTATATCAACTCACTTGCCACTCCTTGATAGGTTTTGATATGAGTCTGCAAGCAATTGAATTATTATGTTGTCTGTGCAGTCAGTCCTCACTGAGAATGTTAATCTGTATTTGTGCCACCCCAAGCTAGCATCACTGCCTCAGCTCCAACTCAGATCATCACGACCGCGCAACCTAGATCCCTCCCATGCGCAGTTCACAATAGGGTTCTCGCTCCTATGAGAATCTAATGTCACTGCTGATCTGACAGAAGGCAGAGTTTAGGCAATAATGTGAGCAATGGGAGCAGCTGTAAATACAGATGAAACTTCTCTCACTCCCTTGCCTGCCACTCATCTCCTACTCTGCGGCTCAGTTCCTAACAGACCACAGGCTGCTACTGGTCCATGGCCAGGGGGTTGGTTGTAACCCCTGTTTTAGGGGTTACAGTTTTTAGTTAATATGTTTGCATTTGATCCAGTCTTTAAATGTACCCATTACTGGTATGCTAGAATTTTTTTAATAGATTCTTCGATTGAATTAATGGACACAAATAAGATTTTGTTTGAGAGCAGAATCAGGGAGGAATTTGGGAAACTGGTAGAGGCTTCTTTTTCTGATTTTCCTTCTCCCTCTCTGATGGTTACTCCATATCTTTAAAGGAGCCTTTCCTTCCATCTGCTGCTAACTATCATGTTCTTCTGGAGTCTGCAGCTTCTTTTCATTTTACTTACTCTCTCTGGGTGATCTTCTAGGCCCTTGACCTTAACTTCCATATCGGCTAACAGTTTCTCTGGCTTCTCTTCTCAGCTCCAGATAACTCCCTTTGAGTGTCCTGCATGTATTCCATTTTATACGTTTAACACTGAAATCTCTCTTTATTCTAACTGTGTCAAAAAACAAAACCTGCTTTCTTCTGGCCTACTTCTCCAGCCTTTCTCTTGCCATCTCCTCACTGACCCTCCTCCTTTCACCCACAGTGAACTGCTGGCACTTTCTTGAAAGCACCATGATCTTTCTCATCTTGGGGTTCTGTTAGGAGCTGAGCTGCGGAAATGGACTTTCTATTACTTCTCTATCATACAGTCTCTTGCTCTATCTTCCAAGATACGGGTTAAGCATTACTTTTGCTGGAAAACTTTCTTTATCCTTTTTCCTCACTTACCTAGGCTGGGTTAATATGAGAAAAAAAAAGATTAAGTGAAAAATGATAGAAAGCTAGAAGAGAAGGTAGTGTTTGCTTTGTTTCTACCTCTTCCTATCTGTTGCTTAACCTATACCCAAGAAGCTTGATTTTTGGCCATATGTTTATCAAGGCTACTGAGGATGTGCTCCCAGGTCAAGTTTGTTATTGCCTATACAGAAATGGATACTTTGAGGCTCTATT